CTGCGCTGCACACCCTCCCCTCCCCCAGGCCCTGACCGCTGTAGGTAGGGTCAGGGTTACAGTTAGAGTTGGGCCCCTTCGAACATCCCATCGTTTCTCCCCTGAGAGACACGGACAGTGGACAATTTGGAGTCAAGATTTGCCATTCGGACTTTTTTTTTTTTTAATCTTTTAGAAATGCATTTGAAACAGTGTGTTTGGTTTTTTTTTTCCCTTCTAGTTAAGGGACTATTTATATGTGTATAGGACAGCTGTCTTTTTTGTTGTTGTGTTTTCTTTAGTGAGGTCCAAAGAAAGATGCAAACGGGGGTCAGGCCTGTGTCCCGCTGATCCCCCGATACAGGTCACTCCAGACGGCCCGTGTGCCCGGCGCTGGTGCACTGCGGCGCTTGGAACTGTCATCTATGGAGCCCTCGGAGGACGCTGAACGAGGGCTGCCTCTCTCCCTCCGTCCCGGTCTCTGCGTTCCTGCTAGCAGTCCTCTCGCTCTGTGCCCCACCAGCCACAGGGCCCACCCCCCGGGGAAATAATGGGTAGAAGCCTAGGCCTTACTTGGCGAGATGCTGATGGGATAAAACTGGAACCAGGCGGAGCCACGCTGGGCAGCTCCCACCCACTCAGGGCCTCTTTCCACAGCCCAGGACGCTTTCGGCAGCCTCTCTGATGCTCACGCACAAGGAGCCTGCAGCGGGGGAGGAAGGGGCATCCGATGATCCTTGTTCTGTAGACTTCTTTTCTTAACCAAATCCAGAGGAGGTTACGGAAAAGCTAACCACGTGGCGATTTTTTTTCTTTTTTTAAGGAAAGGAAAGGAACCTAGTTGCTTGCATCTTTTATTTTTAAAATAACACTTTATTTTCCGAGTAATCCCATGAAGCAAGGACTTGCGATGGCGGCCAGAGTGTGTTAGGACTCGGGCTGAACGGTGCCTCTCCTGCTAGTGAGAATAGCTGTATTTCTCCCTCTGATGGGCCCCTGCTTCTGCCTGGTGCTCGGGAAGTGGCTTAGAGCAAAGGATTTTAATTTTAATTAATTTGCAGTGAACTAATCTCCTGTACAATTCTGCTTCCAGGCATTTTAGGGGAACAAATGCTGTTAGTAGATAAGGGGAGCTTATTAAATGTTTTTTAAAAAACAAAAAAAACCACAGGGACGTTTTTATTATAGATTTATGGGTTTGTTTTTTTTATAATTTTATTGATTTTTTACAGAGAGGAAGGGAGAGGGATAGAGAGTTAGAAACATCGATGAGAGAGAAGCATCGATCAGCTGCCTCCTGCACACCCCCCAATGGGGATGTGCCCGCAACCAAGGTACACGCCCTTGACCGGAATCGAACCTGGGACCCTTCAGTCCCCAGGCCGACGCTCTATCCAGTGAGCCAAACCAGCTAGGGCATTGTGGGGTTTTTTTTAATGAATGTTTTTTAAAATATGTAAATAGGACACCAAAGCTGCAGGGGTTTTAGGGTTTTCCCCCCTCAAGATAACAAAACAAGTGGCCCGCGATATTTTTTAACTCATTCCGATCAGGATATTTTTTTATACGTTGCCTAAATCGATGCCAACTGGAGAACCATCTCTGCTCTCTTTTCTCAAATGCGATCAATGAGTCCTTTTTTATTTTCGCATTAAAATACTTTCACTGTGATGGCTAGCTTACCACCGGACTCTGCTCCCTGTAATTTGACATCGACAATTTTTAAAAATGCAACTAAGTGGTTAATAGTGTGTGATGTTTAAAGTTGATGTAAACTGGAAAGGTGTGCAGTTGTACTTTTTTTTTTTCGGCTAGGGTTGTGTGTTGTTTTTTTTAATTTTATACTTTTCAAATAAACATGCAGTTTCATTCTTTCTATTGGTGTGAATGGTTCTTCACCTTTCTTAACCCACCTTGCTCTTCTATGGCGATGTAAAAAATGGACATCTCCCATCTGTCATGACTTCTGCATTGAATTGATGCCATAGGAAAGGCGGGAAAAGGAGGAGTCTATTGGCGGGGTCTCAAAATGTGATGGGCGTTGAAGGATTCCACAGCTGGTGTGAATGGAAGGCAGAAGTGAAATCACGAATTCCAGTTCGTATCATGGGCCCCGGGATGTCACTTAAGAAGATGGGCATGAACTGCTTCCACTGCAGTGCTGTTTGGGGGAAGGGAGAGGTAACTGTGAGAACCAATAGCAGACCCCGACCTCCTGTGCCAGCGTACACTGCCGTGCTAGCACAAGTGTGCGGATAATTAGTTTAGAGCCACAAATGGTGCAGATTGGCCCCATCAGTGATGGGGACATCCTTGTTGGTCTTACAAGTCTCGTTTTAGAACCACGTGTTGACTGATGCCGCAAGGACAGTGGCATAGAGAGTCAGGAGGTCACCCATACCACCACCCATGAACAGGAGAAGTAACCTTGGCCTTGGTCTTGGCCAAAGTTGAAATCCACATGGGAAACTAAACACAGGTCTACAAAACCTAGATTTTGATCATGTACTGATGCCCAGGGGTCTCAAAAGGAAGATCAGGCTATGAGACAGCGGTATCCCAGTAGTCTGGAGTGGCGTGCCCCAAAGGTTTGTCCAGATGTTCATTCCTTGATCTCAGGGTGCCATTTTTAATAGGTGCCACAATGAAGAAATGGTTGAGAAGCACTCATCTAGAGCAGAGATCAGTAAACTTTTTGTGTAAAGGGCCAAATAATAAATATTTTTGCTTTGTGGCCATATGGTCTCTGTAGCAGCTACAGAATCGTCCATAGACGATACAACGGGTGTGGCAGGGTTCCAGTAACTTGACAAAAATACATGACCAGTCAGATTTGGCTCATGGGCTGTTATTTGCCAATCCCTCATCTAAAGGATCATTTCCATGTCGTGTTCATGGATCCAAAGCTAAGGACATTTTAGAAAAGCATATTCCTGGCCTGGAATATTAGAGCCTTTGAAATGGCACCAACCTTTAAAAAATTAAAAATAGACAAACTCTCGAAGCAGGCAATTCGAGGACTGTGAAGTTAATTTTAATCGACACTGTAGCTCTTTTTCAATGAATAAGGAGATATAGGAGGAGTAAACATGAGTAGAGGCTTTCCCAGTAACACCCTAAACAGCTGGGTTGAATGCAGCGGTCCTAGGCAAAAAAAAAACTACTCTGACTAGTGATTCTGTAAGATGACAAAGTGACACAACAGAATGTCTTTTAGAGAAAAAGACAGGGATGACTGACCTGAAAGTTATTACCTGTGTTCTCCATTTAGCTTGCCATCCTCAGGCAAGGCCGTAGATCCAAAGAGTAAACTGCATAGGAAAGACCTTCAGGTGGCCACAGTAGAGGTGCCATCGTGTACATAGGAGAGGAAATGCTCCCAGTGAGACCCACGGCAGAAATGTTAGTGAGGAAACAGGCAGACTCCTTGGACAATCAAATTAATGGAAATGGTAATAGAACCTCCAGTTGTAAATGATAAAAATTCAACTCAACACGAGCTTAATTGTGCAAAATGGTAGAAGACGTATTGGCTGATGCAACCAAGTCCAAGGGTATGGGACTGTTGGTTTGGGGCAGGACTGGATTCAGTTGTTCAGAAACTGTCATCAGGAATCTGCTTCTCTCTCCCCAGCTTCTCAGCCCAGCTCTGCTCAGCTTTATGGCTTTACATCAGGTGGAAGAGGGTCCCAGAAGATCCAGGCTCACAATCGGAAAAGGAGACAACTGTCTTCATGAGAGTCCATAGAAATCCCCCCCTTTTTTGACTTTTATCTTTTTTTATTGAATTTATTTGGGTGGCATTCATTCCTAAATCATACAGGTTTCAAGTGTACAACTCAATACAGCCTCATCTGCCAGCCTGGGAATCAGCTAAGAGCACACGGGCGTGCAGGACACTTCCCAGGACCACACATTGTGTTTGGAGATGGCGGCAGCCCCAGTTTAGAGATGAGGACTGACACCTGGCTCACACAGGTAAAAGAGACATTCTAGAAAGAAAAGAAGGGGCTGGCTTCATTGTACGAGGAAAGTCAACTGCTTAACTCATCCCTCTAGTTGGAATCAGTTGTCAAGAAATAATTGAATGTGAGTGTCTCCTTCCCGCTTGCTGGCGTGGCTTAAATAAGTGGCTCTTCCATGAGAACGATGTTTGTGTGTGCCCAGTGTGTCAGCAGGGACCAATCAGAAACACTACAGGTGTTACAGGAAGAAGGGGTTGAATATGGACATTGGGGCTTTCACTGAAGGAGAGCTGGCGGGGTGATAGCCTAGAAGCATCAAGTGGAGGATTCGAGACACAGTTACCAAGGACACCAGCCAGAGCCTGGGACAGGTGGAGGAACCAGAGCTGTAAGGAAGGCCAAGAAGCCACTACGTAGATTCCAAAAATGGTCCTGCAGCGAGCAAGTGAGCTCACGGAGAGGACTGAGAGGCTGGATGTCTAGTGAACCCCACCCCCGAGGATAATGCCTGAGCTTTCATCGACACCCGTGCCCCTAGAACCACACTGGGAAGGAGTCTCAGGAAGCATGGTCCTCAGGAGAGAGTGGAGACAACAGCATTCAGCCCACCTGGGGGCTAGGACCTTGGGCCCTGCAGTGGTTTCCGGTACAGACCCTCCATCCTCCACTGAAAGGAGTTTTCCTCAGTAGAAAATTGGGACTCGGTCGATACGCATTAGACCTTAACTTCTTCGTATGTAGTGAGAAAAGGGAATTCCATTCTTTACTTTTCATTTTTGTAGGCATAGCCCATCATTGGAGCCCGTAGTTATCAAAAGT